AGAAAACCTGTATTAACTATTTTACTTTCTGTGCCAATAGCACAATACCACAGGCTGGATGAGTTATATAAATAGAATGTTTATTTTAGTTTATGTTTTAGGTGCTCCAAAGTTAAGGTGCTCCACCCTGTGATGGTCTTCCTCTGTCAGATAGGTGTCAAATTAGGTGATACAGAGCAGCATTTTGTGTGAGACAAGGAACATGTATTTATGTGTCTTCTTCCTGTAAGCCACTAAGATTCCATCACGGAAAAGAGGGCCAATGACTTTAATCCTCATATCCTCTAATGGATATTTCCTACAAACATGACTCTGCCCAATGAAGATTCAATTTAAATAAAGGAAGTCTTAGGGTATACATTCACACTATATTTAAGCTATATCAAATTGCAAATTAGAGGTTCAGAGTGGGGAAGTTTTTGAAGTAAAGGATAGGAGGAATTGGTACAATAAGAAGGCCATCCTGCACTAACTGTGTGTCCTATTCCCAGCAGAATCTGCTTCAGCCATTTGTAAGGGATCCAGTCCAATGATTGGTCTCAGTTCCTGTTGTAGTCTTTTTCTGTTTGTCTGCTCTTAGATCTCTCATGAAGGCTGAATTCCTCTTAGTCTTTCACAAAAATAGTTTAGCTTTTCTTTGACCTCGCTGCTCTGGCTCTTGCTGTCTGTTGATGACTTCATGTGTCATGTTACCCCACTTTAGGAGAAATACATTAGCAGTCAAAATCAGCTCCAGTCTTAAAGTAACCTTTTCCACCTCACTGTGATTCTTACTTATTCCTTCACTAAACAAATATATATTGGTATATATAATGAGCTAAGTATTGTGCAGGGGAGGTACATAGAGATCTTAAAGAATGAGGTTCTGTTCTTGATGTACTTGGTTTGATGAGGGATACACGTACCATAAAATGTTAGGTCAGGATGTTCAGAGATTGTAAAGTGGGAGCTCTAGCAGACTGCAATGGACTGAAGCTTGGTTTAGAGAGTGATGATTGGAGAAAACTTATAAATTTTAGTTGTAAAAGGATTATTGAAATTGTGGTAGTATCTGAGTGTGAAAAAGAGTTTGGTTGATATCAGATTCGTCCTCCTGTACCAAGTTCAGAGTTTACAGGAAGGAATCAGATAGTCAAGGACTTTGAAACATAATGAGCTGTTTTCTTGATGCTGGCCTTGTGAAAGCAGTCAGGACATAGAACAATGGAAATTTCATAAGTCTGTATATATCTTTTGTAAATTGAACTTCTCAATGACTATGGCAACTCCAAGCAAGCTGTGTAACAATCCTGGCTTTTTCTCTTTCCTTTTAAGTGAAGGGGTAAAGTACTTACTGTTTTGCAGGTTATTGTATGGACCAGATGAGAGAATGTGTGCATATACTACTTAAATGAATACATTTTTTATTATAGCAACTGAGTTTCACAATGATAAAAATCTTAGTTTTCTGAAGTTAAAACAGATAAGTTTTAAGAATATAAAGTTCCAAGTCCTTGAAAGATTTGATGCAAAGAGGCACGACAGATGAATAAATATTTTATAGCAAACTTCTTTTTTATTTTGTTTGCATGCTCTTGGCAACACTTCAAAATCGATGATGCAGCTAAGAGCTGAGCCACAGTAACCCTGACTCTGCTTTTTCTCCACTGCAGTAGATTCAGGATGATGAGACCATGATTCTTTGTGCTGACAGCACATCCTAGCTTTTGTCCATTCAACCTGATAATGCACTCTGCCTGAGCAAAATATTACTTTCAAACTGGAGTCAGTTTACAGAAGAGAAAACAGTAACATCACTCGAAGGACACACACACACACACACACACACACACACACACACACACACACACACACACAGGCAAATTGAGCTCTATAGGAGAGATCCTAAACCATTAACTGAATCTGCACTGAAATAGTTTGGAAAACATTAGCAGAGGTGCCATAAACCTTAACAGCAGATAGCCTTGTGGGAAAGAGAAAATATTGTATTATGGTTGATTGACTGATTAATTGGTTGATGTAGATCAATATATAATTCTCAAAAATATCTTGTAACAATACATAGGAATTAATTATTGATTGTAATTTCATTTTTCATGAAAAGCAACATTAGAAATTAACAACAAATTAGAAATAATAGTTTTAAAATCTTTTTTAGATGTGTTTACTTTGTGTGTGTGTGTGTGTGTGTGTGTGTGTGTGTGTGTGTGTGTATGATGTGCACATTAGTGAAGGCTTCTGTGTATGTTTGGGGAAAAATGTCAGATTTCCTGGCTGTAGTTAAAGGAACCAAACTCAGTTCCTTTGCAAATCAGTACACACTCAACCACTTAGCCACCTCTCTAGCCAAGAAATCTAAGTTTTGTGATCACACATCATCTTAAAAACTTCCAGCAAAGATGTTCTAAATAAGCAAAATCATAGTGAACATTGAATATTCTTTTTTTATTTATTAAATTTTTTATTCATTTTACATATCAACCACTCCCCCTACTCCTACCTAACCTCCACCCCCCGACTCACCCCTCTTCCCCCCTTCCAAAAGGGTTAGTTCTCCCATGGGGGAACAGCAAAGCCTGGTACATTCAGTTGAGGTAGGACCCAACCACTCCCCCACACTGCCTCAAGGTAGATAAGGTGTCCAACTATAGGCAATAGGATCCAGAAAGCTGGCTCATGCAACAGGGATAAATCCTGATCACATTGCCAGGGGCCCCTCAAACAGACCCAGCTACATAACTGTCTCCCATATGCAGAGGGCCTAGTCTGGTCCCATGCAGGTTCCACAGCTGTTGTTCTAAAGTTTGTAAGTTCCTATGAGCTTGGTCCAGTTGTCTCTGTAGATTTCCCCATCATGATCTTGATCCCCTCATTGCTCATATAATTCCTCTTCCCTCTCTTCAACTGGACTCCCCAAAGATGGGCCTGGCCAGGTGCTTGGCTGTGGATCTCTGCATCTGCTTCCATCAGATGAAGGCTCTATGATGACAGTTAGGGTATTCATCAATCTGATTACCAGGGTAGTCCTTGCAATAGGTCTGCTACAAACATTATTGGGAAAATAAAGTGTTGTATGATTATGTTATTTTATCATGTTTTAATAAATCTTTAAAGAGTCAAATCATAACTTAAAATTCAAGGACATAATTAAATGAATAAAATTACCAATAAATTTTAGTGTTGGTTCTAAATAGGATATAGGGCTACTCTTCTAATTGAACACATTCCAAGGACACGTTCTTCTTTAGCATCTCCCTGAAAAATAAACATTGAATTAAATTTCAAATTTATTTCAAAAACTATCTTGTAACCTCCATCCTCATCCCTTTCTGGCTGGCTTACTTTTTGTAACAGTGTGATTATTATGTTAAACTTTCTTTCAATCAAATGAAATCTTAGTTTCTGGTTTCATGTAAGTAGGAACTGAAACATGAAGTAGTTTGCTTTGATCATCTTGAACAATAACTAATTATTATTGTTAGGCAAACTTCATGATGGGATAATTATAAAACTACAAAGTTCCATGATAGTTGGCTAAGGCCTCTTGATCTACCATGGCCATCACTAGAATCACACTGACCTGTGCAGGGAAGTTGCCCTCATCTGAAAGGACGTTCTTTGAAAAATTAAATATTTTATTTCTAACTTTTAGAGAAGAAAGACTATGTTTAAATAAGAATTATCCAACAATATTCTTGCAATAACTATTCCATATAAACACAACATTCCCAAGAGGGTCTGAAAGGAAAGATTCTTTAAAATTATGGTGATTTAATTTTATTTTGCCCTAGAACGGCATTCTCTTGAGTATTTGTGAAAATGAAGATGAATATGCAGGGATACATTTGGTTGATTTTGGACCAGATGGCCAGTTGCAGAGGCTGAACTAAGTCGAACTGATTGATTCATTTTTGCCATATTGCTTGCTGGCGTTCACCAGTGCTCACGTCTTTCAAGTACTAACATATTTGGTAGCCTTATTTATGTATTGAATGCATTTTGAGAAAATTTCTTCGAATGACCTCAGCTTTAACATGTCTTCTTTTATATCAAATGGTCAGTTGGTGAAATCTTTCCTTAATTTTAGTAGAAAAAGAGAACTTACTTCCAATTTACTTTCTTTTCAGTTTATAAGGTAAATAGTAGATGATTAACATTTTAAGCTAATAAAAATAATTACCTGTTGATATTATGATACCTATGATTCAAATGAACAAGGGTACAATAACTTTAATGTAACATGTTAAGACAGAGTTCCTTCTTTTAAGGTGCTTCCCTTGGCACTAAGGAGACAAGCCACTTATCTTATTTAGTGCTGGTACAATAAGAATGTGTATACACATACTTAACCAGAAGTGTCCATAAAAGCTAATGGTTAAAGTAGTGGGAACGTAAATAACCAGGGCTCAGAACAGATATCACATGATAACAAAGTGTGTAGAGCTTTGAGGTATTTTGACAACTTTTTAGCCATTATAATTCTCTGTTTTGTCCATTTACATTATGTAAAAAGAAAGAGAGAAGTAAGAGAGATATAAAAGCTGGGGTTCAGTAGTCAGCCACAAAGGAATTTGATCTTTATGTGTTTTTTGAGCTTTCTTCCTATAGGTTACTCCCTGGGACTAGCATGTGAAATGTTGAGTGTCAGATGGTTTACAGTGACTGATAATTTTAAAAAGAAACATGAGTTAGAACATTTACCGAGATTCTGACTAAAGAAGAAATATCGTTGTAGGAATCTGACCTGGAGTAAAGATGTCATTCATAGTTACTCACATTAAGCCAAAGGAGTAGTGGTATTTTAGAAATTGTATCCTATTCTTAAGCATAAACCACATAGCAGTCTGTGTAGTGAAATGAGTTATTAAAGCGTGTTTTATTTCCTATAAAGCCCTTTAATTTTTTTAAGAATAAAATGTTTTTGATGTTAACCTCCCTCCATATTTAAAAATTAAAATAAAAATATCACTAATAGTAACTCCAACAACTCCCTGCTTTAGATACTATATTGTATAGAAGAACAATCAACCCATAATCAGAAGACAATTTCACAGTGGCAGGGGAGAAATGGAGCCTGAAGAAGTATTTTCCAGAAAACACACCAAAGAGAAACAAGTTGCAACTGGACTTCTCCAGCACAGGATACAAGGTTCAAAGTTGTCATTCTTCATCCTGCTTAGAAATTTTAAGGAAAATTGTAGGAAAAAAGAAAGAGAAAAGATTATCTCAAGGTGCACAAGGTTAGATTCTAATCTATTTTAGTTTTCATTTATATGTTTATTAAGAATGTCTAATATCTTCTGTGAATGATGGGCAGATGAAAAATGTAATAAGGAAACACATTTTATTGTGAAAGACCACTGAAAATGTATTACCTAGAAATGAAATTTGACCTTTATTATTTGAGTTGAAACATAAAAAACTTGTCAAATTGTTCTGGGAAATTTTCTTTTCTTTGTCTTCTGAAAGTTGTAACTGGCTGGACATACGAATTTCCACAATGCTGAAAACACTCATGACATCCACGTTACCTACAGTGATCTGGTGAGTCCAGCAGTGTGTGAACATGACAAACTATAGAAAAGGAGGAGATTAAAGCTGGGAACCCACAGTACTTTATTGACCTGGGTCTCCACATTAACCTGATCTGATCCTGTAATTACTATGAATAGAATAGGGCTTATAGTTCTCCTTAAAAACACCCCAGGCATTTTTATTCTAAAAAGAGAATTTCTATTCATGTTCTTTTCTCCTTTCCAGATTTACAGATTTGTAGCAAGACGGAATGTGTGTGGCTTTGCTGGCACACTGAGAGAGAAAGATACCTAATGCTCATGGCAATCAGTAACATAATCCAATATATACACTTAAAAAAAAAACTTAACTAAGTTTTGTCTCATATTTTTAAGTGTGTGATTGCCTCCTGCCAATCAGAAGAAATGAAAGTGATAAAGTTGGTCAACTATAAAAAAGGTTTGGTTTGAAACCAAATCTGTTAAACCACAATAATTATGTAGTGTTATTTGTTCATTGCTTTGGGGAGCATACCTTTAAACTTCCATTAAAACCAGTTGTTTTAACCTCAGGAGAATGATTAATAGGAACAGGTATTTGAGTGATATGCAGTGCTGTAATTAATAATCAGTATTTTATTTCAATTTAGAAAAACAGCTGGAGCTACAAGATAAGATATATTATAAGAATAAATATTTTATTTATTTATTTATTTATTTATTTATTTATTTATTTATTTATTTATTATTTATTTATATTTTTATGTGCACATTTGTCTATGTGAAGGTGTTGGATCCCCTGGAATTGGAGAGACACCATGTGGGTGCTAGGAATTGACCTTGGGTCCTCTGGAAGAGGAGCCAGTGCTCTTAAACACTGAGCCATCTCTAGAGAGATCCAAATATTAACAATTATAATTTTAAGTAATCACAACTAGTGCTATAATCATTTCACTTTTAAAAGTTAATTCTCATCTTTACATAGTTAACTGAGTTAAGCATTATCAGGTAGATAGGAGCTGTTAGCTTGTGTTATCGTGAACTCTGTAAAACATCTTAGGTGGACTAGAGAGGTGGCTCCGAGGAGCTGAGTTCTGTTCCCAGCACCAAAGTCAAGTGGCTTAAAGCTACCTGCAACTCCAGCTTTAGGGGATCTGGTATATTCTTCTAGTCTTTCCTGGTAGTTCCATAAACACGTGAATATAAGCACACAAATAGACATACACACAAATAAAAGTAAATATCAAACATTATAAAATAAGTTTTTCACTTCTGCATTGATAGCTCTTTATTCTTACTGCAACTGTGCAAAGCTGCAGATATATAGCTTGATTCTTCAAATATGAGTGTGTACATGACCATAAGCAGAATGGCTGTGTGAATCTAGGTCAGAGAGAAATTCACATGCTAGAGAACTTATGTGCATTACATTTAATATGTCAAGTGAGAGCATATTTGATGCAATTTATATGAACACTGTAATTGTCAAAATAATTATCTTTCTAGGGTGTCAGCAGGAATAATTCTTTTCTGGAATAAAAACTAAAACATACTTATTAAGAGAATAAATTGTTAGTTAAGGTCTTTTGATGTAAATATTTAAAAATTAAGTATAGTTCAAGAATTGTGAGTTGCAAAGTAGAGTAATACTTTGACAGTTGTGGAATTTTGGATAAATGACACAATTTAATTCTTCTTAAAGTTCCTATTTGGGACAATTAATATATGTCAAATAGAGTGTTTGATATCAGAACATTGTTTTAAGCTCTTTTATTATAATTTCTCATCTTCTGAATAGCTAGAGTGGTACAAGCCATCTTGATTAGACTGTCAAAAGTCTCCTTGTATTTTCCCGAGACTATGAACAATCTATATCATGCTTCTAAGACATGAGAATTTAAAGTTCCACCAGGTAGTAGCTTGCCAAACAAATTTGGTTTTCTGATATTTATTATGAGAATGGTACTGCTTCAGAAATACTATGTGCATAAAATCTAGTTAATGATGGGCTTCTCTTGTTCCATTTTACTATTTGACGTTTTACTATTCAGGAACATTAATGTCACTACTATCTTGACAATATGTCGGGCTAAAAGAAGCAAGTTAGGAAGTAGTCACTTTAAAAACCTACATGGGTATGTTTTACATTTTGTGACAGTGTATATTTGGAAAGGGTGGGGCAGTGAAACCCTGTCTCTATGGTAGCTATTTTTATATTAGAATGCAAAAGCACTTTCAAACGGCAGGACAGTTTTCATCTGTAAGATTTAAAAGAATCTGAACATAAAATGGATTCATATCATCTTCTTTTGGGCTACTAAACATAGGAAAATATATAGCCGTTGATTTATTATAAGTGGGTTGAATTTTCTCTCCTGGTGGGCTTTTCAAACCTTTAGTTGCTGTTCTTTCTCTTGCTGCGTGAATATCATTTTTATCACTTTTTGTTAAAAGGAATTTCCCATAAAAGCCCGCAAAATAACCTAGAATCTGATTATCCTTTTTCCACGAAAAATCTGATGGGTTTGGGTCAAGATTATACCTCTGCTCAGCTGATTTGATTGGCATGAGGCTCTATAATGACAGAATGGTTCATGAATGAGAGTGGGCATTATACCTCATGGAACCAGAAAGGATTTCATCTGAAAAACATGAAAAGACCAACAGGACGGTAATAGCAAACTGCGATCAGTAAAGGCTGCATGTTCACAACATTTTAAGGGCATAGTAGATGCTAATGTAAACATTTCCTTTTTTCTTTTGATTAAAAATAAGCTGAGAGAAAGGCATTGGGTGAAAGAACGAGAGAGAGAGAGAGAGAGAGAGAGAGAGAGAGAGAGAGAGAGAGAGAGAGAGAGCGCTCTGGAAAAAAAGTCCTTCTCAAGCACCACTTAGGATGTTTACATTAAAAACATAAAACAAACAAAAAACCTTGAGTCATTTTTTTTTACCTAATCATTCTTGTTTTACTAAGGGAAAGCTAGAAGATGATTAAGATTTTTAAATTGAACACAAGGAAAAACAAGTAGGATGACTTTGAGTGGTGTACTTTAATCACTGTTGTATTTTAGTGCCACAAGTAAGTTTTAAACAACAAATGCTGTTTTGGAAAATCATTTCCAGAGTCAGTTACTATTAGTATCATGGTAGGTTGGAATCTATACTGACACCTGACAAGCAAATAGGATTGATTATAGGCAATACATAATTTGGACACTTATTTTATGATAACACTGGTTGCTCTTAAGTTCCCGCCCCTTCCTCAATATAAATGAATCAGTGAATATTTATTGTGACAGTATTGTGATACATACCACTCGGTTTTGATATAAAATATAGAAATTGTGTTAAGTAATTTTATACTATTTTAGTTGATCAATATTTCATTATTAGAATTCATACTACTATTATTTAATTTATAAAGTTTCAGCCAGTCATACCTTTAGCTAATGCAAATCATGAAAGAGCAAATACAATCTATTGCAAAGTCCTCTATCTACAACCAGAGAGTGAAGCTTGATAGGAGGAGTGAGCATGTAATGAACAGAAATTATTTGAAAGCTGAGTCTTTTCTATGGAGTGCTACTTTGTAGTTTGTTATGAATCTTCCAACTGTGCAGTCATTGTGAGAACTGCGCTAACATGAAGAGTTTCAACTTATTTCTCTAAAAACTTCTGTGCTTTTTCCATCTTTTCCTTTTCCCATCCTCTTCCTCTTCCTCCTTGCAACTTTCAATTTCAAAATTATCTTTATTAAATAAGTAGTACTTTTTTGGAATTATATACTTATATAATGCTATTATCTTTATTCATTAAAACCTATCTCTATTGTGACCATAAATCACTCAAAAATATTTTTTCTTTCTTGGTTGAAATTAAAATCCTTATGGTTTCCATTAAATAGAACTTGTAAGTGAAAGTGGAAACCAGTACATTCTACTGTCTGACTGCTTTGAATGGCATGGGTGAGGTTATGCATTGAAGTAAAAATGAAGGTACAATGGAATGACAACAAGTATATTTAACAATGAGCCCCTTGTCAGCATTTCCCACTGCTTTCCATTATTTTTGTGAAATTAATGGTAGATTTTGATGGTTTCTAGATTATTTCCCTTTTGGGGTTTAATACACATGCTAGAAGGATGCAACCATGGTTTTTGGACAAAATCCTGGGCATAGGGACATAAGCAGAAAGTTTGTTTTTTCAAATAAGTTTGTATGTTTATAGGTTTAAATGCAGGTATGTCTGTATTCTCAAAAACAGCATGTATGGTTGACATCCTGCTGGTCAAATATACAATTTCTAGTGCTGGCTGTAGGTCCAGGACTTTGTATGTGCAAGAATGTTGCTGTTGAGCTGTGGTCCCACTTCAATTACTAACATCATATTATTGCCAAACTTTGGTTACACTGAATTTTTTTACTTACATATGTAGCTGTGTTTGTGTACTTAGTTAGGCATTTGTGTGTCGAAGTTAGACATATATTTCCAAAGTAACATTTTTTCTAAGAAGATATAGAACAGATCTGTGTTACACTCTCATCTAAAGGAGTCTCACTATGAGCTATGAGTAGCTTAGTATATGAAATAAAGATGATGTCTATGGTTTTTGTGAGATTACAAACACAGCTTTCTGAGCACCAATCTCTGCCATGACATTTTATATACTTAATCATTAAATGGTATTATTATTATTATTATTATTATTATTATTAT